GTGTGTGTGTGTGTGTGTGTGTGTGTGTGTGTGTGTGTGCAGTGTTTTAACTGAGTGTGAAAAAATGTTTGGATGACAAATGAAATTCCATGGGCCTTGAAAATTCTTTATTGCTGCTGCGGTGTAGTTAGAGAAGGTTAGCAGAGATCAACTGTTTCCACTTTGTGCTCATTTTCCCCCACCTTCCATTTATCTTTCACCRTCTCCAGTGGAGCGGAAGGAGTGCTACTACAATCTGAACGATGAGAACCTGTGCGAGAGTGTGCTGACCAGCCACGTCACACTGCAGGAGTGCTGCTGTACGCTGGGAGCCGGCTGGGGGGACAACTGTGAAGTATATCCTTGTCCCGTCAACGGGACAGGTGAGTCGGAGGAAATGGGCCGAGSTCCAAAGCTGTCAGTGGTTCAAGTGCGCAATTAATGCAGGATGAAATGTTTTCACATAATAATTTGAAGGAAAATAAGTGTCTCAGGAGCARTAATGAAAAAGAGCCGTGGCAGCCAAGGACTATATGACTGTCAGTGGATGTTTTTCTSTCTGATAAACACTAATGGCTGCCACAAGTTACCTTAAAAACCTTGACGTTTTTACAGATATTGACCTGAAATTTAGTGTTTTAAAAGCTGAGACTGGTTTCCATCACACATTCTGAGTATTCTGAATGGATTATRCAAAAACAAAAAAATGTGATTAACTTCTTGGAGTCAACTCTGTCTGCGAAATATCATTGGACAGGTTTTAATGGAACTTTCAGAAAGTAACAAATGGAAGTGCACGTCCACAGCTGACAGTAACTAAAATCCTTGTCCTTGTTGCTGCCCTTTCAGACCAGTTCAACCAGATGTGCCCATCAGGAAGAGGTTTTATTCCCAGTGAGGACTTGCTTTATGGGATACCATTGTCTGACACCTACAAAGGTAAGCATTTTCATCATACCTACAATACAATGAGTTTTTTTAAAAAGCTGTTTATAAAATGTTTTACCTCAGTTTTGTGAATGTTTTTGCCCTCAGACCACCAGGGACCTGATTAGATTACAAATAACAAGTGCTAAATTGATGCGCAAACTAAAACAACTGCATTCAAATATTTTAACGTATGCTGATGATACTGTTCTTTTTTTTGTCTGATTTCATTATTGAATCTATTAATAGTCAGTCACAAGCAGATCTTCAGACATTTCATGGTTGGCTTCAAGATAATCTTTTGTCAATTAATGTTAAAAAAAAAACTGTGTGCATGTATTTTTCCTCACCCAGGAGACATTTCAATATAACAAATCAACTCACTTTTTTAAACAAACCCCTTGATATTGTCACTACCTACAAATATCTTGGAATTACTTTGGATTCTCATTTGACTTATCTGAACGTTCACTTATTGTGTCACTTTTCACTTCGCACAGTCAAGATATTAACAAGTAATGAGAAATACCT